GTATAGTAGCAGTGGTCCTCTGAATGGGGAATACTGAGCATTGACTCCATGATTGCAGAAGGCTGATCAATTGCTGTATTGTTACTACACTACACTACACTTATACTATTAAGAAGAAAACCCATCACCCTTGCCAGACAGTCCAACACAGCTTTGACCTAATTGGTCAATCAATCAAAACACCATCACCAGAGTCCAATTAAGAAACCAGCCTTTGGTAAACAAATCTCCATAACACATTTCACATCTCCATTTCACATGTGCACAACAACAGGTGCAGCAAGAGGAGATAAGAATTGGTTCTCATTTTCTCTGAGCTTTCTCACAGCTTCCCACAGCTTCCCAAGAAAATCCTGGGAGAGAATTATGTCTCTCTCTGTTCAGAGGATATGTGATTACCACACAGAGGAGCTTCAGGGCAGTGGAAATTTTTTATCCAGTGTTCTTCAGGCAAATCATCCCAAAAGACCCTTCCAAGGGTGCCAGTAATGGCTTGAGGTGCCCTGCCAAGGATGGCAGCAGCAGGGAGGCTGGGCAGGGAGATGGCTCATACGCCATTGGAATGATTGGCTCCCACAACATTGGAATGATTGGCTCACATACATTCACACACCATTGCAATGATTGGCTCACACACCAATGGAATGATTGGTTCACACACGTTCACACACCAATGGAATGATTGGTTCACACACGTTCACACACACCAATGGAATGATTGGTTCACACACGTTCACACACACCAGTGGAATGACTGGTTCACACACGTTCACACACCAATGGAATGATTGGTTCACACTCCATTGCAATGATTGGCTCACACGCCATTGGAATGATTGGCAAGCAGCAGGGATGGAATACACCCTGAGGGAGCTCTTGCCTTGGCTCTGGTGCCTGGGCATGTGCCAAACGCAGCTGGCATCACTGCTAAAGCCTGCCCGTGCCCCACAGGGGACAAACCAATCTGCTGGCGCACACCAGGGCTCTGCCACGTCTGCCCCTCCTCCTGACACCTCGCTGGGCTGGGCATTTTCCATGTCGTGGCTGGCTGTTCTGAGCTGTGTTGGTGTCTCTTCCCTCTCAGCACAGACGTCACCTTGCAGGGCTGGGAAAGGGAAAGGATTTTGGGGATTTTTGCCATAAAAAGCTTGGAATCACCTTGATCTCTCCTTGATTTGCCAATGTTGGGATGGATTACTCAGAAATATCCTGTTTCCAAGGACTGGAGAGGAAGGGCCAGGCTGGGCTGGTGGCACAAAGAGGCCGCCAAGGTGACAAGAGCCACAACCAGCTGAGGAATGTTTGATTCAACAGAAATTCCCCACTGTCCATGCCAAGAACAAAGCATCTGGAGAAAAAGAGCACCAGCTTTGGGTCCCAAAACAGTCCTTTTCCATGTCTTGTCATCCACAGCCATGGATTGCCATTGCAAGGGTGTCCTGGGCACTGAGACCCCTCTGCCCCTCATGCCAGGCTGTGGTGGTTGTGAGGGTCCCAGGACCAGGGAATAGATGATTCTGACTCCATATTCTCAGAAGGCTGATTTATTATATTATGATATTATATTCCTCTGCAGGAAGACTTGTGGGGACACTGGGCTTTCTTCTGAATGGGATCACATCCCCAAATGCACTTTCCCTGCTTTATTCCCTCCTAAACGAGCTAGTGTTCCATGAAAGGTGTCACCACAGAGCTAAGCTGGAGTTCTGGGAGGAGGGCAGGTGTAGCAGTGCTGAGGATAAAATCCACCAAAAACTGGGAAAATTTGGGGCATTTCTCTTAAAGGGCTCCAACGGAGGTGGAGAGGGGTTTTGGACTGGGGTCTGGAGTGATGGGACAAGGGAAAATGGTTTTAAAATGACAGAGAGCAGGGCTAGGTTGGATTTTAGGAAGAAATTCCTCCCTGTGAGGGTGGGGAGGCCCTGGCACAGGGTGCCCAGAGCAGCTGTGGCTGCCCCTGGATCCCTGGCAGTGCCCAAGGCCAGGCTGGACAGGGCTTGGAGCAACCTGGATAGTGGAAGGTGTCCCTGCCATGGCAGGGGTGGCACTGGATGGGCTTTAAAGTTCCTTCCAACCCAAAACTGTTGTCTATTATTTAACTCCACAACTCTCCTTGGAACAGCTCTGGATTAATTCAGGCCTGTGCCAAACCCACAGGTCATGGAGAGGGTCTGAAATGGCATCAGGCTGGTTGGTGGCTGGAGATGAGGTCCCTCAGGACCTTCAGGTGACATTCTGTGCTCATGGGCAGTAGGAACTGGAATGGATGATAGACTGTTTGCAGCACATGGATTAATTTGACAACTCATTTTTCAGAGATTTTTGCACATCTGGAGAAGAATAAAGAGGTTGGGGAGTCTTTTTGTCAGTAAAATTCTGGTTTCACATCAGCAGGGAGGAAAAAAAAAATCCAGCCCTGGTTTTCCAAAATCCTGGAGCTCTGGGTGCTGCTCCACAGAAACCATGGGCTTGAGCACCCTGAAACAAACCACAAAGTGCTGAGCACTTCTGGCTGTGATTTGCTGCTTACAAGGGGACTGAGCTGTTCTGGAAACCCGGCCCAGATTATGGGTTTCAAACGCTAGAAAATCTCTAACTGAGCTCTTAATCCAGTTTATGGGTTCATCATAAATGGAGCTGAGCCATTCTTGGAAAGAAAACTTGGCAACAGGAATCTCTCTCCACTGTATCAGTAGAAACCACATACAAAGCTCAGGGCAACCACTCTAGATGGGGGAGTAATTAAAACGTCTCACAGTCTCTGTGGGCCAGGGAAGTGGGGACAGCAGGGCAGCTGCCAGGGCTGAGTGACAGAAACACCCACCTGGAGGCTGGGCTGTGCTCACACACCTGGAGGGCAGCTGGATTCCAGCCCTGCCCCGGTGCCACAGCCATTTCCACCACTGCAGGCTGTGCCCTGGGGCCAGCAGGGCACAGGAAATCATCTCCCTCTGCAGAGGCACGGGGAGAGGAGCTCAGTTCTCCTGCTTCAGAGCTTCACAGAGTCGTTCTACACATTTTGTATTTAATGGGAAAAAAAAGAAGCAGACCTGAACAGGGTTATTCCTTTTTACATTCTCTTCTAACAGCAGCCCTCTTTCAACAGCTCATTTACTGCCCGTGTGGGACTCCACAGTGAAATCTGCTCAGCCATGGATCTAAAAGACTTCCTTCACACTAATCCTCAACAATCCTTGCTGTTCTCTGGCAGCCAGGCTGGATTCTCTCTTGATTACCCACATCAATAAATCATACATTATCTATGCTTGAATTTGGTGAAGATTCTGGTTAATGATGCATGAGATAGAAGAGGACTCAGCTGATGAGTTGTGCTGCTCAGTAAAAACTGGTTGAAGTAGGAAAAACAGCCAAGATGGATTTTTGCCATTAAAAACCCACTTGTCTGGTCTCGTGCATGGATAGGAGCAGATGCACTGATTAAAGTCACGATGGATTTGTGGAGTCTTACACACCAGCAAGGGAAATTGGAAGTGGAAGAAGAATCTGGGATGTGTTTGCTGCCAATAGACACAAAAAGCACCTGCAGGAGTTCTGGAAAATGGAGAGGGAGATGATCTCCTCACCCAGGAGACCTCGGGCAGTGCCCAGAGGGGCAGCCTGTCCTCCCAGGCCTCTCACCACCCACCTTTTCTCTTTATCTTAGCACCATCTAGAGGGATGTGTCTGCACACCCGAGAGGAGAACACCCACACACGGGGTGTGGAGCCTGGAGAAGCCAATTCTCAGAGGAGCAGTGCACCCCTCCAGGCACCTTGACAAGGTTGAATCATCCCACTTGTCCTGCTGAGCTCATCTGGGACTGGAACAATGGGTCCTCCAGAGGGATTGGAGGTGGGAAGGTTCAGGGGGGTGGTCTGGAGGGTCTTGCTCAGGGTTTGGGGTTTTTTCTTGATATTTTTTTAACACCTACAGATCTTGCATCACCTACAGATCTTGCAGGTTTCAATAGAGGCCATATCTGGAGTGCTCTGTCCACTTGGGCTCCTCAGCAGGGACATGGAGCTCCTGGAATGGGACCAGCAGAGGCTGCAGAGAGGAGGAAGGGCCTGGAGCATCTCCATGCCCAGGAAAGGCTGAGGAAGCTGGGGCTGCTCAGCCTGGAGAGGAGCCCCGGCTGAGAGGGGCCTCAGCCCTGTCTGTCCCTGTCTGTCCCTGTTTGTCCTGTCTGTCCCTGTCTGTCTGTCCGTGTCTGTCCCTGTCTGTCTGTCCCTGTCTGTCCTGCGACAAGGGAAATTTAGGTTGGAAATTAGGAAGAAGTTTTTTATGAAAGAGTGATAAAGTTCTGGAATGGCCTGCCCGGGCAGGTGGTGGAGTCACCATCCCTGGATGTGTTTAAATCAAGACTGTGTTAAAAACGGGACCAGGCTGCCTGTGCTAAAGTGATTTCAGCATTTATAATAAAGAGAAAGGCCTAAAGCAAGGGGGCCTGCAGGCAGCGCTCCCATCAAGGATGCTGCAGCACCAGCGCTGGGGCTTCTCAGCAGTGATGTCCCCGATGTCCCAGGTGGAGCAGCACAGATTCAATGGGTCAGAAGCCCCTTTTTAACCTTTTTGTTGTTGTTGTTGTTCGTTTGGATAGGTTTCTTTTTGGATCCTTCATTTGCATGAAGGTTTAAGGCACCTGATTGGCCCATGACAGTTCTGTCCAGGCTGGCTCGTTTCGCTGGGGGTGGTGCACTACTCAGGTGTGTTATGGTACACTGAGTACCGTATTTCTTATAACTACCCTTTAACCCCTTTTACAATAGCTAAAATAACAGTACATGCTTAAAGATCTACCAACTATTTTACAACAGTTTCTAACCTATTTTTAGCAACTGGATGTGGCACTGGGTGCCGTGGTTCAGTTGAGGTGTTGGGGCTGGCTGGGACTCGATGATCTTGAAGGTCTCCTCCAGCCCGGTGATTCTGTGAATTCCCGGGCAGGGATCCCGGGGGCAGTGCCAGGCTGAGCCCTCCCCGGGCGTTCCGGGAGCAGCATCCCCGGGGGAGGGAGGCAGGCAGGCACGGAGGGGGGAAGGAGGAAGCCGAGCTGTTGAGTCAACACTGCAGAGCTGCCTGCGAGAGCAGAGAGAGGCACAGCCGGGCTGGCTGACAGATTTGCTGAGCCACGGGGAAATGGTTTGAGTAATAATCAACGGTAAGGAAACCTCTGGTTTGGGGAGAGAGCTTAGAGGGGAAATACTCTGCGTATTTCACGAGCTGGGCTGCTGGGGGGAGACAGGCTGGTGCTGGAGGGGTTTGGAACACAGCCAGGGCGGCAGGCACCGAAACAAGTCCCGTTTATCCCGGTAAATCCAGTCCCTCCCTCCCTGCGCTGGGGTCCCGCGAGCCCCGCTCTGCGCCGGCTGGGGAGGGTGCTCTGGGGGGCTGCTGGTTCCCTGTGCCACAAAGGTGTCCCCTGTCCCCCCAGCCTGCCGCTGTGGCCAGCAAGATGAGGAGCCTGTGCAGCCGGGAGCCCCGGGAGCCACCGCCCTGCCCGGCGCAGGCAGCGCCACAAAGCCAGCACCAGGGTAAGTGTGGGGACAGGGACATCCACGTGCCCCAAAGCCAGCACCAGGGTAAGTGTGGGGATTGGAGTAGAATCAAGAGGCTGGGGAGTATCTTTGTCAGTAAAATTCTGGTTTCACATCAGCACTGGGAGAACTGCCCTGGTTTTTCCAAAATCCTGGAGCTCTGGGTGCTGCTCCACAGAAATCATGAGCTTGAGCACCCTGAAACAAACCACAAAGTGCAAGGTCTTGGAAACCAAAGTCCAACCTGCCCAGATCAGTGTGTGCTTGGTGCAGAGATAGGAAGGGAAGCACATTGCCCTGGCCAGAGGGCGAAGCAGGAGCTTTCAGAATTCACCTGACTGGGATTAAGGAGCGCAGAGAAGCACAAACAGCAGCAGGGTCTGGCAAAGGATGCACAAAAGCTGCATTTCTTCAGTAGCTGTCTTTAGTCAGGACTAAGTCAGTACTCTGGAGGTGGAATGGGGTAAAGACCATGGAAAAAACAGGACAATCCTCTGCCTACATTTTTTCTGTTAGGGGGTGTCACCCCTACCCCCCATCATACAATGAGTATCATAGGGCTTGAAGGTCTGATTAGGAGACAGAAGGACAGTGGAAGAGGGGCTGAAACTGGATGATCTTTAAGGTCCCTTCCAACCCAAACCATCCTGCAATCCCAAAACTGTCCCTGCAGTGTTGAGAGAGCAGCACCAGAGGAGAGGGAAGGTTCCTTTCCTCACCCCTGCCCCACAGAAGCTCAGTGCCCACTCCAGGGACCCTCTCCAGCTCAGTTTGGGATCACAGCACAAGATTCACCTCCCACATCCCAAACCCAGCTCCTCCAACAGCCACAAAGCAACACCTGCAACCCCTCCAGGCATGGCCAGGTCACCTTTCATTTTCCCTCATCCAAACCTCGGAGCAGCTGCCCTGAGCCAGCACTGAGAGCTTTCTCCTTCCCGAGAGGGGCAGGGGGTGGGCTCTTTCTCCAGGCAGCACTGACAGAACCAGAGGACACAATCTCAAGCTCTCTGGGGACAGGGACATCCCCACACCTCATCCCAAATCTGCCGAGATGGGGGGGGCAGGGCTCACCTGGGCTCAGCCAGGGTGGGGGCACCTCCACACTGCCTGCCTGTGCTCCCAGGACCAAGCTGCAGAGGTTTCTGTTCTCCCCTGCTTTATTTCTCCTGGCTGGTTTTGGTGTTAAATGTCATTCCAACTCCTGGCAGAGGAGCAAATAGCAGCCTTTGGAAAAGGGGACAGACGTGCTGTGGGGTGGGATTAGGGGGACAAGAGGATGTCACCTCCTCCCACAGAGCTATGTGTCCTGGGACACTGTTTGTAACCCAGAACCCTGCCAAACACCAAAACACAGCACCATACACCGAGCTGGCAATGAGAGATCCCTGTCCTTGCCTCCCAATCTTCCCTCCCTGGCCCATTTAAAGCCTACATCTGAAGCACAGTGGCTTTGCAGATAAAAAGCACAGCCCCAGTTTGGCATGGTGGGTACAGCAGGAGCCATCCTGGCTCCTCTCCCTGCCCCAGCCAAGGCAAGGAAAATTCTCCAGCATCACCTGACTGCACTGCTCAGGTGCCAAAGCTCCTGTGAAAGTGAACTCAGCTTTGAGCAGCAGGCAGAGGAATCTCAGCATGGCAGGGATGTACCCCACCCATACTGGTTGCACAGGTTTGGCTGAGTCACTCCTGAGCAAACATTCCCAGAGCAGGAGCACGTTCCTGGGCAGCTGCCACAAGGTCAGGCCATGCCTGTCACCTCTGCCTCTGCCAGGAGCTTGGAGCTGTCCCTGGAGACTCCAGGGAGGGCACAGGGCTGAGCCATTCCCTTCCCACTGCCCCCATGAGCTGTGTGGGAGGGGAGGAAGGGGAATTGTGTGCACAGGGGGTCCTAAAACATGTCCAGAATTTCACCTGTCCCCTAAAGTAACAGCTGGCTCCTGATCAGGGGAGGGAGAGGGGATGTGTCCCTTCACTGATGCTTTGATTAAGGCTGTGTGGAGGAGAAGCAGAAGGAAGGAGCAGCTGCCATCCTGCAGTGGGAGCCAGGAATTTGCAGAGGCTCCAGGAAGATCAGGGAAGGTCAATGATACATCACTGGATGTATCAGGGAGAGGAATCAAACTCCTCTTTTGAGCAAAGCTGTTCAGCTCCTTTCTGCAGTTAATTGCTAGATGTTTAATTGCCATCAGGATAGCTGAGGTTTTCAGAGGACCTTACTGTCCCTTCCAGAACTTTTCCCCTTGGTTAATCCCAAATCCCTCTCTTTTCTCTGTCCTTGTCATTTGCAGATGTAAAACAAGAGCTACCAGCACCCCCTGAAGCACCAGCCTCACTCCTCAGCAACAGCAAACCCATCCAGAGCAGGTCCTGACGATAAAACCCTCGTGGTCCTCCCAGGAAGGCCACCAGATTTCTTCCCACTGATTTTTGCTGGAAATCCTGTATCCCAGGGATTAGAAAATATCAGCAAATCCCTGCTGGATCTGCTCTCAGCACAGAAGCACATTGATAGAAAATGTCCTGATCAGTGCCTCATGACCAGAATTTTCCAGTTGACAGGGAAAAAAAAGAAGATTCCCAATGTGTATCAGAAGATTGCCAATGTATCAGCAGATTCCCAATGTGTATCAAATGCTCCTGACATCCATGGGCCATGGAACAGCAGGGGAAGAGCAGGAGCCATTGCATCCTAGCAGGGAAATAGATTTTTATACTGTGAAACCAAATTATGCTCCCAGTGATATTGGTACAAATTCAGACAATTTCAAAATCAGTTCCTGGGATGGAATGAAGAGTTTTGGAGCTGGGTGTGTGGGAATCCCTTTCCCCATGCCCAGTGAGCCCCCAGGTGATGTGCAGCACCCCCAGAGCAGAGGCTGCAGGGATGTGCCCCCAACCCTGCCCTGTCACAGAGCAATGACAGCAGAGCCCCAAACCCCACCGGTGTGGGGGGATCCTGCCTGACCCCTCCTGTGACAGCTCGAGCAGAAGTAAAGGTGCATGAAATCAGCTGGTTGGGAATGTGGTGGTGTTTCTCCTCGAGTGAGTTTGGTGACACTGCAGTGCTTGGGTTCCTTCACTGGCAGCACGGCAGGGTAAGGGGATCACATGGGGGGTCACTGATAAGGGGGTTATCTGTGTTTGGGGGGGTCACTGATAAAGGGATCCTTTGTTGGGGTGGGTCACTGATAAGGGATTGATAAGGGGATCCTTTTTGGGGGGTCCCTGATAAGGGGATCCTTTGTGGAGATCACTGATAAGAGGATCATGAGCTAGGGGCTCGCTGCTGAGGGAATGGTGCTGGGGCCTCAGGCAGGAGGAGATGGATCTGGTGTCACATTTCCTGGTGACAGGAACAACTGGAGAAGGAGTAGAGTCATCCTGCACCCTGGAAAGAGCCAAATCCTGGTGCTCCAAGGCTCAGCCTCCTGTTGCCACCCCGAGCAAAGCTCTGGCCTTTGCTGGTACGAGGTTGTGTGAGGGGGTGATGGTTGCTGGCAGGAGGGTTTGGACACAAACGAGTCCCCGGCTGTCCCTGGGTTGTTTTTGACCCCTGGGGCAGCTCCTCCCCACCGAGGTGTTGGGCAGGAGCTCTCCAAGGTGAGCAGCTTTCCTGCATCTTTTTTATTAGAGTCCTATTTCCACTTGTTCATCCAGGACAAGGAATTACAGCTCCTTTCTCTGCACCACAGCTCCTCCACACTGGAGTGTGGGGACAGTTCTGTTTTGGTGGTTTCCAGCCCCCTCTGGTCACCTGCCCCAGCTGTGCTGGGTGTGGAGCACTGTGGAGATGAGAGTCTGGTCAGAGAGAGAGAAAGCCAGATAAGTTTCCCATTAATTGGTCTGGGAAGTTTTAGGGAGGCAGAGAGAATGAATGGCAAACTATCTGCAGATGGTGTTTTCAACAAGTTGCTCTCCTCCTAAGATGTTTTACCAAAGGGTGTCTTCTTAATTAGCCAATCATGTGAAATGTGTTCATTAAATGACCAATCATGTCCACCTGTATCGGACCAGGGTATGAAAGAAGGGGTTCCAATAAAGTCAGGGCTGCTATCCTCTCACCCTTCTGCCCTGGAGTCTGTGTCTGTTGTAATAGGACACGAAATGAACGACATGCATGCTGAAACTTCTAAGGTAAAAAGAAGAAAGTTTATTTCTCGACTTCAATATATATAAATTTCAAAAGTGACCCTGGATTGGAGGATGAAATTGTTACTTCTCTAACAACACTGGTTAACAGTCTATCAAATTTCTCCTTTTCTAGAGAAGAATGCAAAACCAATCATTATTTACATAAAAGTGCATGAGAAACTCCATTATAAAATCGTAAACATCAGAAGGCTTAGAAGAACTTAGAAGGACATGGTGTAAAACGTAAACATTAGAAGGACATGGTGACATGTGTCATTCCTGACTCAGCAGCGGCAGAGCACGGTGCTCTGGATGAACTGGCAGAGGCAGGGAACGCTGCTGTGGCCCAGGTGTCCCCCTGGGCTGGCCCGAGGGAGCCGGCCCGTGACCAGGAGCCGGACGTAGCACGCACTGAAGATCACCAGGAGCTGCTGGGCCATGGCCTGCAGGGAGCAAGAGAGGTCAGAGCAGGGCAGGCTCAGAGCAGTGAGAGACTGTGCCACAGTTTATTTGGTGTGGGGTCACTGAGATGAGCGATGAGCAATGACCCTGGCTCATGCCAGGCTGCAGGGACTGAGGGAGGAGGACTGGCTGCTCTCTGCTTCCCCATTAGCTTGGGGTTTTGTCTTAGCCCAGACCCTCCTGGCTTCAAACCAGCCACTGGTTTTAAACCTGGTTTTTAAACCCAACACCGGGCTGTGTTATTTGGTCCTGGCTGCCCTGAGCACCCTGAGGGCATCACCTGCCTCAGCTCTGCTCCCTGGGAGCCCATCCCAGCATCCCCACGGATGGCAGGGGAGGCATGGAGAGATTCCTTCCTTAACCAGATCCTTGCAGCTGTGGTTTGTGCACTTCAGCCCCGAGCACTGCCTCCAGGCCCTGGCAGCCCACATCACTCACCTGCAGGGGACACAGGTAAGGGACACTGGGGTCGGCCTGGGGACACAGGCAGGTCCTGCCCTAAGCCCTGGATTTGCTGGGGTGGAGGTGGGCAAGGACAGATAACTGGCCCAGATCTCCTTGTGGCCAGCAGTGCTGGCACACTGTCCCCACAGGGGGTGACACCAAGTGAGCGCTGGCTTGCAGGTGGCCCTGGGGACCTGCCCACTCTCTCCTTGCCTCCTCGGGCTTGTTTTTGCCTGTAGACAGCAAGAGAGCCTCAACCTGCAGGGATATCACCTGCACTGAATTTGCTTAGTGACAGTGACAGGAAATCTGCAAAATAAATCAAAATCATGCCTTTGGTAGCTCCGTGCTGAGCAGGAATCAGGGCACATTTGTTGCTCAGCGTGGCACAAGTCTTCGAAGGCACTTTCCATGGAGGAGACAGAGGCTGGGCTCATCCATGGCTCAGCTCAGCCTGGGCAGGGGCATCAGGTCCCTGGGGAGAGGTTTTCTTCAAAACAGGACCCTTGAGACCAGCAAGGAAAAGCCCAATCTGTGAATTCCTCAAGGATTATCCCCAGCTGCTCAGACAGCTTTGAATTCCAGTTTACAAACGTGGAATTCAGGTTTTTAAGGGTTTCCTTCTCCTCCTGGCAGCACCAGGGCTGGAGAAGGTGTGTGTGGCCTTCCAGGTGCTTCTGCTGGAGGAAAAGGTGGTGTGTCCCACGGCTGAAATGAGTTTTGGAGCTGAGATGCCTTGGGGGTGATTTGGTGCTGCTGTCAGGGGGATGTTTCTCCTCACCTGGGGTGGGCCCTCAGGGATGAGGGGCAGGAGCTCACTGCAGGTCACAGGATCTTTATTCAGGGTCACACCTCTGGATAAAAGAGGGGATTCTTCACATGGAGCCTCCTCCTCCACCTGCAACTCGGGCTGAGCTGCCACATCCATGACCACCCAGAGCTTATTCAGCCTGTGCCTCAAGCCTGCCTGGAAGAAAAGGAGATTTTGGGGCTCTCCAAAGGTAGGCAGCAGTGGTGTCCTGTGGAGAGCCTTTACAGAGCACTATTTACACCTTCATGGTTTTTATTCCTGGGATTTCCCACCCCAGGCAGCAGTGGTGTCTTGAGGACAGAGTTTAAAAGGTACAATTTTCTCCTGCACATTTTTCACTCCTGGGATTTCCCATGCCAAGAGCCATGCCCAGCACTTGGAGCTGGGTGTCCATGCCATAGCCTGGCTGCCCTCAGCTGCCAGTGGCTGCTCCCAGCACCACGGGAACAGCCTGGCATGGAGAATCCTGTCTTTAAAAACAGAGTTCTCTCATCCCCTGTGTGAATCCAGGGACTGCTGTCCATCCCTCAGCTGCAGCTTTCAGGGAGATGAGCAGCCTGGAAATTTCAGAGGGCTCTCACCTCTCATCACACAAAAGCAGTTCAGTGGATATTTACACACCCACAGAGAGCAAAACATTTTCTGAAGGCCAAGAGGACAAAATTTTTATATAATTAACTCAATGCAGCAATTCCCGCTCCTCCAGGCTATCCCACTTTTTCTAGGAGGACAGCTCAAGGTGGCAGCTGCTTCAAGGTGTGCCACATGCTTCCAAAATTTGCCTTTCATTCCTGATGACTTTCCATAATTAAAGCTGCACAGTTAATTATCCAGACACACACATTCCATGGGGTCTGGACAAATTCCTGCTGAACCGGACAGGGACAGGTGCACTTTATTCACCTCCCAGTCTGCCCAGTGCACAGCAGGGCACTCAAACACTCATTTGTCCTTGCCCACCTCCACCCCAGCAAATCCAGGGCTTAGGGCAGGACCTGCCTGTGTCCCCAGGCCGACCCCAGTGTCCCTTACCTGTGTCCCCTGCAGGTGAGTGATGTGGGCTGCCAGGGCCTGGAGGCAGTGCTCGGGGCTGAAGTGCACAAACCACAGCTGCAAGGATCTGGTTAAGGAAGGAATCTCTCCATGCCTCCCCTGCCATCCGTGGGGATGCTGGGATGGGCTCCCAGGGAGCAGAGCTGAGGCAGGTGATGTCCTCAGGGTGCTCAGGGCAGCCAGGACCAAATAACACAGCCCGGTGTTGGGTTTGAAACCAGGTTTAAAACCAGTGGCTGGTTTGAAGCCAGGAGGGTCTGGGCTAAGACAAAACCCCAAGCTAAGGGAGAAGCAGAGAGCAGCCAGTCCTCCTCCCTCAGTCCCTGCAGCCTGGCATGAGCCAGGGTCATTGCTCATCGCTCATCTCAGTGACCCCACACCAAATAAACTGTGGGGCACAGTTACTCAGCTGCCCTAAACACCTTCCTGCTGTCTCACCTTTGTTTCTAGGTATTGACTCAATTTATTTTTTACAAAATTGGCCATTCTCAGTGCTGCTCTGAGGACAGTGTTGAGAAGAGTTTTCCAAGAGCAGCGTGTTGGGGATGTGAGTCCTGCCAGCTGAGGCAGCCAGAGCTCTGTCCTTGGGCATCTGCTGCACCTGCCAGCAGCACGGGGATGCAGGAAAAATGTAAAATCCAGAGGATTGAAATGGATCTGACACTGGAGCAGACAGAGCCATTGTAAATCTCTGGGTTATCTGCTGCTCTCAGGCAGTTTGGGACAGGTAGGTCAAGGTGAAGGCTCCCTGGATTAGTCCTTTAATGGACTATGCTGGCCTGAAAAATGGAATTCAGGTTTACACATGTGGAGTTCAGGTTTTTCAGGGTTTCCTCCTCCTCCTGAATGACTTTGCCCCCCTGCAGTGTTCCCTGTCCCCTTCCCTGCTTCAGCCTGGCTTCTCTCTCCATTTGTATTTCAAGCCTCCCTCTGTGTCTCTCTCACCTTCCTTTAACACATTCATGGAGCCTTAAAACTCTCTCTATTCCCTTAAATCCCTGTCTAGTGCAGAAAAATCATCTCTGAAAAGCAGCAAATGAACCCAAGGATAGGGATTTTGGTTTTCGGCATGTTAGAGTTTTTGGGGGACTGTTAGGTTTTCTCCCTCTTGTTTTTTTAGCAGTTTTTGTTTGGTGGTTTGTTTTTATTTTTTGCCATAGGAACTTTGCTATCCCTCTGCCTATAGGCAGAATCATGAATGGCACATAATTGTAACATATTTATAGGAATAATTGTCTGCCCTAATGAATCCCACTTCAATCCTTTAGACTCATTTTTTCCAATCACCTTTGGGCATATCTTAATCCCCACTTACAGGAGAAATAAAAACGTCCCAATTCCTCATACCATCCCATAGGAGACAAAGCAGATCCCAGGAATGCCACCCTCTGGATCACAACATCAATAATAATTGATGTTGTGATTAATTGATAAAGGTAATTGATGTAATTGATAAATGCCTCCAGCAGGAGGCATTTATCTATCCAGGAGGGATCTGATCAATTGCCACCAAGGATACTTGTAGGATGCTGTGTGGCCCATCCAGGACATCTGTAATCCCCAGGATTATGCTGTGTTTGATAAAGATTTCATTGACAGCTGCCAGCCTCACATCCGTGTTCACATTTAGCTGTTAAAGAATGCAAGGAAAAATAACACAATACACAGCAAAAGTCTACAAACTGCAGCTGGATAATCCCAAATACTGCAGCTCTGAAAGGAAAACAGTGGGATTGATTTTCAGTGTCATGTTCTCTCTTCCACCCCCCAGCAAACTCCTTTCCTGAACCCCTGTGAACCTCCACATTTATCTGGTTTCCTCTTGGAAGAATCATTTGCTCCAAATCCCCCTCTGGATTTTGAGTCAAGACTTTCCAATATTATTCTTCAGCCAAAGAAATGGTGCTAGTGATGCCAGAGGCAGCAGGGATTGTAAGGAGGAATCATCAGGAGCAGGGCAGGAGCCAGAGCTGCTGTGGGAGCACAATCCACACTCTGCAAGGTTGGTCTGCAGGGTGTCCCTGTTGTGGCCTCTCAGTGCTCAAAGAAGCTTCAGAAGAGCTGGAGAGGGACTGGGGACTGCCAGGGGTGGGATGGGAAGATCTTTAAGGTTCCTTTTAACCCAAACCAGCTTGAGATTCCCTAACCCTCTGATCTCCAGCAGCAGGAGGTCTGAGCCAGCCTGAGCAGCTCCAACACTTCCCTTTCAAGCATTCCATCACCTCCCTTGGCTGCAGAACATCCCTTGCCTTCCCTGCATACTGTGAAATTATTCCCTCCTTCCTGGATCATTGTATTCTTTGCCTGCAGCTAGGGAATGCCCCAGCAGGAGGAATCCTGCTCCCCTTTCTCCACATTCCCACACCAACAGCCTCCTCTCACCTTCCTCTGGTGCCCATCAATGACCAGGATCACCAGGACAGTGAGAGCCAGGGCCACCAGTGTCACCAGCACGCCAGCCCCCCAGGAGTGGCCCAGAGAACACAGCTGGAGGGTGGAGTAAAGGTTTGTCCAGAGAGAGATGTAGAAAACCTGGGGGAAAATAGAGACACTGGTGAGAGTCACAAACCCATGAAAGTGAGAAAAGTCACAGGAAGAAGGAAATAACAGTCCTTTCTCCCTTATAAATTAGATCCCACGAGATTTTTCACAGGGTGAGAAAGGACAAAACTTCTTTCCAATAATAAATAGAGGAAAGAAAGGACTGGAAGGACTGAGTGAGCCCTAGTTTATTTTAAAAAATCACCACTCACCAAAGACAAAGAGTGAATTATTAATGATGATTCATCCCTAGGAAGGATTTCAACAGAGTTCTTCCATTTAGATGAGGAATGCACTCACTGAGGCATATTGATAATAATTCTCAGAGTCCCTGGATTTAGAAAGTTCCTATTTCAAGGTGGTGCAGAGACCACTCCATTACAGTAATGCTCAACTAGTGAGCACTGATGCAGGTTTAAAGGGCTGTGTTAAAGTCAGGGAAAACTGGATTCCTTCACCTCCAGAGCATGGATTTGGGCAGGAGATTGCCTAGGAGCAGGTGTGACATATAGGGCACAGCATCATCTCATCATGACAAAACTCAGGTGTACTAAACAGGCACCAAACCCCTCCAAACACTGAGCACCAATTCCTACAGGAGAAGATTTGTATAATGGCTATCCAAACAAAAAAATTAAAATAAAGATTTGTGTTTGATCACACCCTCAGCACACTGCAAAGCACCAGCCTCACAGCAGATGCTCATGGTTGGGTCTCTGGAGAACTTTCTTTCACCAGAAGAAGACAAACATGACCATAAGCTGACAGATTTTTTTTGTCTAAATTAGTATCAGCACCATTATGCCCTCAGATCTTTAAAATCAAGTTCTAAACCAAGCCTGTTGTAGGTGCTGTCACCTCAGCATCTGCTGGTCACCCATGGACAGTCTACTTTAGTGGGACTGCCAGCAACGGGATGGAGAGAGGGCCTTGCCCTCCATCTGCAGGAGTTCTGTGAGCTGGAATTGCCAAGAGAACCCACCAGGAATGTGTTAGAACCAGGATTTGCTGCCCAGCCCATCCTCACTCCCTCCCTGGGCACAAGAACCCGGTGCCAGGCTGGGCCCTCACCACAGCCATGGCAATCTGGAAGCCCCTGGAGCTGTAGAACAGGTACCGCCTCACTTCGGGCCTCAGGACACCCTCCTGGATCAGCCTTCTCCATGGATCCATCGGCACCTGCCCGGGAACAAACACAAAACCACAGCCACCCTCAGTTTGGGCTCCAGCTCCCAGAAGAACCAGCTGGGCAAACCTCGTTGGCACTGTGGCTCTTACAGCTCTTCAAAATGCTGTTTATTGTATAGAAGATGTTACAGCAGCCATGGGTTGTGGGTGACAGAGCCACACCTAAAGCTGCCAGCTACAGCTAGAGGCAAGCCTGAAGCCCCTTTAGTTCTGGTTACAATGCATTATGTATTTTTCTTTGCTGAGCATCTTTATACACAACAACCAATCAGCACCACACAAAACATCTTTACTATTGCCTATAACCTATCATAACTATCATTACCAAATTATGGTCAATACTGTCCAACCACATGAGTTAGTATGGTGCAGTTTGAGCTTAAAGTTGTTTTTCAGTTTTCTTGCAGTGGCCCTTTTTGTACTTGCCACATCAGCATGTCTGTTTGCCTGTGGTATCTTCTGCTTTTCCTAAGACCTCTTTCTGCTTGGAAAAAACTTCTGTGAATCATGGAGTCAATGCTAATTATTACCCAGCTGGGGGCCGCTGTAACAACATTTTTCTACTTGCCACGTCAGCATGTCTGTTTGCCTGTGGTATCTTCTGCTTTTCCTAAGACCTAATTCTACTTGGTGAAAACATCTTTTTTGTTTGTGGTCAACATATCCTTTGCTCTAAGTCATAAAACCTCCTTCCAGCTTGACCTAACCTTTGCTTTTTCAGTTGTCGACTAAGACTGGCTCAGCAATTCTTAATTTAGACATCTCTTATTCTTCTATATCAAAACTTGCTCCCATCTCTATTCTGCTCTCAGGTTCTACATTCAGAGATCTTTCTGCCAAGCACACATAGCTGTGAGACTTTCTTGTCAAACTTTCATCTTTCCCAACAATGTAGGACACGTTTTATGGTGCAAAAAGAAAGGATCCATCCTGGTTTATTTTGTGCATCCCCTTTTATAGGGTTTTTAAGAACATCCCATCTATCCCCAATTGGTCAGTAACAACTTGTTATTCTGTATTAATTGGTCACTCAAAGCCCAGTGTGTACGTGCAGAAAAAGTCCTTTGTGAGACAGTTTTCATTTTTCTATCTCACAGTGTAAAAACAGTTTATACAGGTGGCTAATGTTTATCACAGCCCTAGAGCTCTTTCTCAGGTAAAGCAGGTTGTTTTCCACAGCCCTAGATCTCTTTCTCAGGAAAAACAAGTTATTTTCCACTGCTGCAGGACTGTGTTCTCACAAAGAGCTGTCAGCTGTTTTCTCATGGTTTGTTGTCTTGAATCAGGATTTGGTTTGTAGGCCTTTGGCCTGCTGTTTCGCCGTGAGAAATTAATGTGCAGACAATTTTTAAAGTGTATAAATTTTGTGTGTAAATTTTCTACAAATAAATTTCTCTCATTTCACTACCACTCCTCGTGGGGCACTGCAACCCAAATGTGTGTCCCAGAGCTGCCTCCCACAGGGAGCACCTCCAATCCCACCCACAGAGCTGCCATAGACCCAAAACTTGTGTTCCTGCCTCAGCTGCAGTGAGTAAAACCTTCCTGGGAAGGGCAGGGACAGTCACAAGGGAAGAAAACCCCTTTTTGTGATGAAGGACAAGACAAGGCAGATATTCCAGGGATGGCCTTCCCTCTCAGAGTGAATTTTAATCAAATTCACTCCCAGCTATCTTCAAAGAGTTTCTTCATGGAGGTTTAAGCCAAGTTCATCCCAGTTGACTGCCAGCCCACGGGGAATAGACTGAAGTTGGACTGAAACAAGCAACTCTCAAACCAAAAAAAACCCAAAGCCATCTGGGCCGTGGGTGTAAATGCAAATTATGCAAATCCAGCTGGAATTAACTCCCAGGGGAGCTCACCTGGATGCCGAGGGACTGCAGCTTGTCAGCACAAAGGTCCATATCGAAGGAGGAGCTGGGGCAGGTGTTGTCCATGCTGAGCACCAGCAGCACCTGGCCTTGGGGAGGATCTGCAAGAGCCCAGAAGAGCCGTGAGCACAGCACTGGGAGGTTTATCCCACAGCCAGGCAGCACCTGGCAAAAGGGAGGCTGAGAACACAAACCACCCTGGTGTGATTTAAACTGATCCAAAATCCCCTCCTTGGCCATTGCTAAGGAGTTCTGCAAGCAGCCTGAGACCCCCTGAAGGAAACAGACTGAAGAAAGGGAAGAAACCCCCAAAACATCCCAGGAGTGAGCAGCCAGAGATAAGAGGAGATAACAGGATGCTCTGATGTGCAGCACAACATGTCCTGCTTCAGCAGCTCCTGACTGGAAGTGTGGAGGTGAAACTGCAGGCCAAAGGCCTACAAACCAAATCCTGATTCAAACAACTTGTTTTCCACAGTCTTAGAGCTCTTTCTCAGGGAAAACAAGTTATTTTGTGAGCTGGAATTGCCAAGAGGACCCACCAGGAATGTGTTAGAACCAGGATTTGGTGCCAAGCCCAACCCTGCTCCCTCCTTGGGCACAAGAACCCGGTGCCAGGCTGGGCAGCCTGTGGTGCCCTCACCGTGGCCATGGCAATCTGGAAGCCCCTGGAGCTGTAGAAAAACCCCTCTTGGCTTTCTCATGGCTTATTTTGGCTCAAGTCAGGATTTAGTCTGTAGGCCTTTGGCCTGCTGTTTCACCACCACAAACAGGCTCAGGCTGCTCGGTGGTGCTGAGGCTCACTTCCCTCTTGGATACCCCTCCCCAAAGCCCACCCACTGTAAAAACCAACTTGAGCAATGAATTCAAGTGCTTTCCAGCAATCCCATTGCTTGGGAATGTGGCAGGGCTGCCCTGGAGCACCCCAGATCCTCCAGCAGCGTGGCTCTGCTCAAGGCTCTTCCAGTGTCAGCTCGGGCCAGGATCACAGATGCATCCTAGAGACTCCAGTCAGGAGCCTAAAGAGTGTGAGGACAGCCTGTCCTAGATTTGAGCAGCACAGGAGAGCTGTGATCTCCAGGCAGCCCATCTGGCACCCACCTAGAGCTTACACAAGCTGTGCTACAGAGAGAGGAAGGGTTTGGGCCTACAGAAGTGGCTGGTTCAGCTGAGATCCTGCTTCACTGAAAGGTTTCACCCAAATTTCCTTCCTCTTTGCAGCTACAGGGTCAGCCAGGTGTCCCTGGGCTGCTCCTGGGGACATGTAGAGCAAAAATGGGGCCCTGCTGGAGGGTGCAGGGGGTATGAGTGACCAGCCATCCATGCCTCTGCCAGAGGGCTCCAAGCCCTGTCCAGCCTGGCCTTGGGCACTGCCAGGAATCCAGGGGAGCCACAGCTTCTATGGGCACCCTGAGCCAGGGCCTCTGAACCCTCACAGGGGAGAATTTCTTCCTAATCTCCAATCTAAACCCACTGTCTTTCAGTTTGAAGCCATTCCCCCCTTGTCCTGGCACTCCAGGTCCTTACAAATCTTCTCTCTCCATCTTTCCTGTAGCCCCTTCAGGCCCTGCAAGGCCACACTGAGCTCACCCCAAAGCTTCTCCTCTCCAGGTGAACAATCCCAGCTGTGCCAGCCTTCCCTCCCAGCAGAGCTGCTCCGTCCTCTGATCCCCTGGTGCCTCCTCTGGATCTCTGCAGCAGCTCCAGCTCCTCCCTGTGCTGGGCCAGGGCTGGGGCAGCTCTGCAGGTGGGGTCTCACCTGAGCCCAGGGCACAGGGGCACAATCCCCCCTGCCCTGCTGCCCCCAGCACAGGTCAAATTTCCCAAAGACTTCTCAGCGTCAAAGGCCAAGAGGAGAGGCCTTGCAGGGGGCTGCTTCGTTCATTCCTGCATATCAGGCATTTAATAAAAACCCCAAAGTATCTCCATTCCCTTCCCAAAATGCTGAAACATCCACAGTGTTTTGGTACTTTCACAAGTGAGATGATGTTAAAGAGCATCTTTGGTAAAATCTGTCAGTGGTTATGTTAAGGACACTGAGCTCAGATCTGCCTCTTCCATTAGCAATGAGCTGCTCCCTTACCTTTCACCCACTGCAGGGCTCCTTCCTTGAAATCACTCTTGCTGTACAGGAGGGAGGACCCGTTTTTCTCAGTTCCACCAGTCTGGCTTTTCTGGGCCATGCTGAAGGTGTGTCTCCTTGAAAGATTCTGTGTTTTCTTGTCAGAAATTCAGCATTTCTCTCTCTAATTCAGCACTTTCTCTGCTGGGAAGCACCAACCAGCCCCACAGCAGCTGAGTTGGGAGCAGATTGTGAAACCCTCACTCCCACTGCTGCCTTCCTGGGCATCCTGCTTCCCATGAGCCACGAGGCATTTTCTAGCCCTGAAAAGAGAAGAAGAAAATCCCAAATCTTGCAGAGACAGCAAATAAAGGATAACAGCAGTGACTGCACCTGGTGTTGGCCAGTGTGAGCTCAGTCCACACAGACTCACTTTTTATGTTTGGTTCTTGTTGAGAGGTGGCAAAGTTGTCCTTAAATATTCCTTAAATTATCCTGACATCCATCAGCATTCACATTTTGCAAGCAATTAGCAAAGAACAGTCAGGGTTTCTCCTTGCCACTCCTCTTTGCCATCACCTTCAGAAGAACTTGGAGCTGGTGGAAATGCCCCTCCCTGGAAGTGACACGGGGACAGATCCTCACCAGGACGGGAGAAGTGCAGATGAAGCAGAAAAATACATCTGCTGAAGGCAGAGTCAAGCAGGAGCTCCCACCCAGCAGCAGGGATGCCTTTGAGGTTCTGCTTTCCCTTCCTTTCTCTTCTGCTTTCCCTTCTCCTCTCCTCTGCTCTCCTCTCCCATCTCCTCTCTTTTCATTTTCCCTCTCCTCTCTTTTTTTTGTCTCTCACCTCTGCTTTCCCTTCCCCTCTCCTCTCTTTTCCTTCTTCCTCTTGTCTACTTTCCTTTCCCCTCCCCTCTCCTCAGGGAAATTCTCCCAGCAGGCACAGTGCCCAAGGTTTTCCAGGTGTTTTTTCCTGCTGACACAGCTCTCTAACCTCCTGCCAGCACCTGTGGGTGGCTGTTAAACGCTTGGAAAACTCTGGAGTTTACTTTTCAATTGCCTTCCACTCCAGCTCTCCAAAACCACCGCTTACTTTTTAACCTCTGCTCAGATCAGGAGCCTGTTGCTGTCTCCTGGTGGGAGGATCCCTCACAGATCTCACCCACCCTCCTTCCAAAGGGGATTGTTTTGTTTCTGACTTTTTTTGGTTTTTTCTGATGGTTGTGGCTGTATTTACCCCCTTGCACAAAGCCAGGACAGTCCCTGGTTGAAGGAAATGGAGGCAAGAGAAACAGCATGAAAAATTTTCCCCTGATCACAGGGGGGAAAAACCCAAAAGGGCTGAAAATTCCCTTAAAAAGCTGAAACTTCAAGGATCCTAAAGGATCTGAACTTAAAGGATTCCTGAAAACTTAAAGGATCAAAGCAGAAAGTGTGTGCACACAGGATGGGCACAGCACCTGCTCTTCCCTGCACAGGTGAGGAGAGGCTCCCCTGGGCACAGCTCTGCCATGAGGATCATGGGCACCACGTGTCACAGGGCACATCCCAGCACCAAAAGGTGCATTCAGACTGGGTTTTCTCACTCCTTTCCTTCTTTTGCCATCCAACAGAAGTGAATGTAAAATCAAGACAGAAAAGCCCACAGAAGACAGAAGCAAAGAGTGAAAAAAAAAACAGATTAAACTAAAGAAAAATATATTAAAACTAAAGAAAACTAATTAAAAGCTGAAGAAAAGCCTGATTAAAACCAACCACCCTGTTGCTGTTGCTGGCACATCCATTTGGAGATGAATCAAGGCTCTCTGGCTCAGATGATGAGAATTTGGGGCCTCTGGAGGACAGTCCCCAGGAGGTGACAGTGCAGGTGCAGCAGCCCAGCCATCCCCAGGAGGAAAACAGCCTTCCCCAAACGCTGGGAGCTCCTCAGCCAAAGCAGCTTTGCCTCTTAGTGCAGCACAGTTTGGCTCTGTTGCCTTTCCCTGCAGAACCGCCCATGTGGGGATTTGGGTCCCCCCAAACCTCCCTCTGATCCCTCCTGAGGCACCTCGAGGAGCAGCCTGTCCTCTCCTGCACTCCCAGGCTCTGCATTATCTAAATTTCTTCTTTTTCTTTATGCAATGCCAACATCCCTCTGGTCAATTCACTTCCTTCTTTTTTGGACACCTCCAAGCCCTCACTAAACAGCAGACAAACACCCAGCAGGTCCTTCTGCCTCATCCCCAGAGCAGCCAGCAGAGCCTTACCTGCTCCAGCTCACTCCTGGTGCTGGGAATGCAGCTCAGCCTCCTCCTCCTGCCTGCCCTTTATGTGCCACTGTCCCACTCTGCACTGCACAGGTGCCACACTGTGCCACATCCGAGCAGGAAGGTACCAGCCTGTGCCTCCTGGGAGCAGGGATTACCCAAGCCTGTGCCCCTGCCTCCCCCTCCTCACCCTGAGCTGCACGCAGGGACTTGCAAAATCTCCCTGGTGCATGTGACTCTTCCCTGGGCTGTTCAGAAATGAGGGTTTAACCCTCTGTAGTTCCTCAGAAGTGTTCCCACGCCCAAGGCACAGCCACAGGGGGAGATTCTCCTCCTCACCTGCAGCAGGGTGGGGGTCCAGAGCTGGAGCCTGAGGAGTGTGAAGAGCTGAAGAGTGACACAGACAGGAGGCTCTCCCCTTCCTCTTCCTCCTCCTCCTCCAGGATCAGCCAGGCCGGATTCAGGAACTACAAATCCCACGGTTGCACCACATCAGTTCCTGTGAGTGTTTCAAGACAGGGCTGGAGACATCAGAAGAGGCAAATGCAGATCTCAAGGCTGACAAGAGGTCACTGTTCATCAAAGGGTCATGGAAAGCACTCAGGAACAGGGATGACAGACAGGGCAGGAGTTGTAGCCCTCCCCAAACCAGGCTGTGCTGATGTGGGGCAAGTTTCCACTCCAGCAGCTCCAGAAGAAAAGCAGAAGGCTCAGGCACAGTCAGACGGATCCTCCAGAGTGCTGCACACGTTGGAGTTGTTTGCCTGACAATGCTGAGACACTATGAAAACCAAATTTCTTAGCCTGGGAATTGTGGTGTCAGAGCTGGCCAAAATCTGCAGGATCCATGGAGGGTTGGAACAAAGCAAATCCAGGAGTGGATAGTTGAAAGAAAAGGAAAAATCAGCTCTTGCAGTGTCTGTGTGCACTTTCTGGAGCAAAGGCTGCTCTTCTGGAGGGATGGGTTCTGCAGCCCTGCCTGCTCCAGAGCTGTGAGTTCATCCCATCACGTGGCTCCACAGGCAACAGGAGCAACTCCAAAGCCACTCACCCTCATGGGATCCTGTTACACTGGAAACTAGCAACACCATCCAGGCACTGGGAAAAATCCCATAAATCTGTCACCAGCTCAAGGCCCAGCTCCAATCCCCACCCAAGACAGGGCCATGGGAAGCTTTGAGCTCTTTTGCAAACGCTCATCAAAAGTTTTGGCTTGGTTTGCTCCTCACCCACACAGAGATGCTGACAGGGAACACGAGAAGCCAAGAGCACTGCCAGCTCTCCACAGGAAAACGCTCCAGGCAAATCCCTGTGGGACAATAACTTGAAAGTTAACAATAACACTGGAAAGCGTGGATAATGAGCTGCAGCACAGCCCCTGTGTCCCTCTTGCTCGGCAAGACACAAAAGGTCTTGGCATCAGCACCTCCAGCAGCAAACTCCTGCTCATTTGAGAGGAGTGTTGGGATCACCAGAGGCTGGACTGACAGGATGGTTTGGGTTGAAAGGACCTTGAATCCCATCTGAGTCCATTCTTCCAGCAGCCCAGGCTGCTCCAAGCCCTGTCCAGCCTGGCCTTACCCTCCCCTTACCACAACATCTGCTGCCTCTGGGGGAGTCCCCCCGCCCCATTTTCCCAAATTCCTGCAGTGCTGTGCAGCTGCTCATGGATTGCTCCGAGCTGATGTATTTGATTTCACCTTTCTCAGTTACTCCTCCCTGCAGGGAGGCTCAGGCTATTGGTTTCAGATCATTTCTCCCACTTATCAAGATCATTTGGAATTGTGATTCAGTGCTCTGTACTGTTTGTATCTCTTCCCAGCTTGGTGCCCTGGACTTACATTGTACTCCCTGTTCCACCTGCTGCATTAATGAATATATTACAGGGAAACTGATTGCAGGGAAATGAAAAAATCTGCTTTTTCAAGATAGAAATTTGAGGACTGTCCCAGGCTGACAGTGCCCACCCACCCCTCCCAGCCCCAGAAATAACCTCACCCTTCATCACGTCCTTAATGTCATTTCTGAGGTCACTCTTCAGCACCTATTTGAACTCCCACTGCTTTAAATAACCAGACACACACATTTAGTCTGCTTTTGCCTATTCTGACCATGTTCTCTCTGTATTTACTCCATGCTTTGATAAACTGAGCTCCTTTGCAGTATTTGGAATCCACACCCCTGTGATTCCAGCTTTTTTGACCACAATCTGCATGTGGTTGCAGTTTCTCCCCACGTCAGCCTTGTTTGGACTGTGCACACTGCAGCCAACACTGGCACATCTCATTTTCTTTTGATGAAACTGCATTTTCAGGGGAGAACTGTGCCATCTCTTTCCTTTTTTTTTCCCTAGTGAGCCTTAATTAGGAGAACAAAGTTGTTGAAAGCCTTGTCTTGCCCTTCTCCTCCCTTCCTGCACACAAAGTCCTTTCACTTTGCGTTGTTGGATTTTTTTGTCAGCAAAGCTGACAGATTGACAGTCATTAAATATAAAAATTTATTTCACACTACCCATAAATTACAAGTTTCAAATGAAGAATGACACTTGCTTAAGGCACTGAGTGTGGTTCTTATCTTTTTTTTTCCTACTTCTGCCTTTTTCTTATGAAGACTTAAAGTATTATTCTTTTTACTATGGTAATGTAAAAACCTCTTTTCTTGAATCTCAAATTAAAAGAGGCAAAGCTCGCTATGTGCCTGGGATAATGATTCAGCTATTGATCCAGAAGATGCTTTATTAGATTATTTTGAGGCAGATGAAAGTAATTTAATACCAATTTATTTTCTATTCCTATGCTAGTCCAAGATACAATCTTTTCTGCATGAAATTAGCACTTTCTCCTTTCAACCTCAAAGAAACATTACACTGTGCTCTTTCCTTGGATTAGTTTGGGAAAACTTTTTCAGCAGAACATTGATCTAGAGGGTTCTCAATAGTATTTTCTTTAAGACTTTAAAGCCAAGACCTCAGCTGGGATCAGCAGGTTCTTGCCTTGTCTCTTCCACTATGCATTAATTCAAGAACTAGTGAAGAGAGACAAAGGGGAAAGAGATTCCAGGTGGGGAAAACAGAGGCAAAGAAGGAAATCAGAGCAGGTTTAATGCAGGCAGAGAGAAGGGAGAGGAGCTGCATTATGTTTACACAGTCATCTGTCACCTCCAGGGGACACTGCAGGGTGGTTCTGCCCCACAACAGCAGGACAGCACCTGGGATACCCCATCCTGCTGCTCACACCTCCCACGAGCTGCCCCAGGGGCCAGGAACTGCTGCATTTTCTGTAGGGACTGTAATTTCTGTTACCAAATTCTGCCTGCTCCGGGGTCAGCTGGGCTCCAGGGTGGGAGAAAACAGCAGGAGCCCAAAGCTGGGGATGGCAGGAAAGGGACAGAGGGACTGCCAGCAGCTCACTGGGCTGGATCTGCCATTAAAACAGCTCCACATTTAATAAAGATCATCAGGACCTGTGCACTGACCTCACAAAAGCAGAAAAACGAGGAATTTAAGGTTGCCAAATGTGGATTTGCCCCTGGAATACCCTGAATTCCCTGGTGTTGCCATCCAGCACAGCCAGCCTGGCAGCTCCAGGCAGAGAGGGGAAGGGCTCCTGGAACTCCAACAGCAGGAAAATGTCCTCCCCTGCTTCTGAAAGTGCCCAAATCCAGCTGCCAGGGGAGCCCTGCTAAAGCACTGCCAGCCAGAATTGCTGTCCCCCTAAGGAGACTCTCTGGACTCCAGATCTGGGGTGAGAGGTGATTTCCTTCCTTTATTTCACAGGATCACAAGATCACAGAATATCCTGATCCCCACACTGTAGTGCCCAAAGTGCCCCCAGGAGCAGGAGCCAGGTGGTATTTCCAAGGAGTCCAAATCAAGGGCATCTCACAATGGTGTGTGGGCCCAAAGCAGCTTCTGCTCTTTCTGTGGTACATGAGCAGGCTGTGGCTCATTCCTGAGAGATTGTCACAGTTCCCCAGAGTGGTTTGGGTTGGAAGGTACCTCCAAAGATCACCCTCTCTTCTCTCCACCTGCAGGGACTCCTCCCACTACCCCAGGCTGCTCCAAGCCCCATCCAACCCAGCCTTGGACACTTCCAGGGATGGAGCAGCCACGGCTTATCTGGGTAGAGGAGCAGCAGGAAGAATTCAGATACAGATTTCTTCTAACAGCTGCTGGGGGCTTCACTCCTACTCCTCAAACTTCCTGCAAAATGCCTGAAAAATCAGATTTCAGGGACAAGAAGCAGCATGTCCGTGTCCATACCTGTGTCAGGACTGTTCCCTGCAGAGCATTTCCCTGGCACAGCCTGGCTTAGGCACAGGACTGCCTTTCCCAGAGCATCACAGGGCAAGATGAAAGAATCTCAACTGGAAATAAAATCTCTGCTCTGCACAAACCAAGCCAGCCTTCCTGGAGAGCAGCAATTGGAAATGCTTCCTTCAGTGCAAAGCTGGAGTCATTCTCAACAGTTAAGTTTCAGGGAAGTATTACAGAAAATTATTATTCTTGCAAGATATTAACACTTCTGCATGTTCTAAAGGGAGCTTCTTCACAGCACATTTGCCAAGGAGAAATAATCATGGATGATTTTTTCCACTTTTTCTCCTGCTTCTGTTCTAAAGGATAAAAGTCCTCATTAACCAAGGGAAACTTACGAACCAATATGAGAAAGTGGAGCACACACTTCATTTTTTCTGGACAGAGTCTCAGTCTGTCACTGATAAGAGAGGGAATGAAATTGCTAATTACAGCCTGGAGCAAGGAGGGCTTTGAGGAGCGTCCTGCTGGAGCCTGAGCACCTGCCCTCAACAGGGAGAAATGTCTCATCTCCAAAGGACAGAGTGAAATTACCATGGCTGCAACCTTTTACGAGGCCATAACACCTCTCCACATTACAGCACATGGATTAAAACTGCTCTGATCCTGTTCTGCTTGTTCCCACCTGGCTTCTCCTCCAGCCTAGCACATTTGACTTTGCAAGAAGCTTTTGTTTCAATTTTACAGCCCGTTTAATAGCTGCAATTCCTGAAGAGATCTTTCCAGGAGTACAGTGCACTACCATAAAATATGACAAGAGGAGACCCCAGAGCTGTCTGCTCCTGCCTGCAGGACTCACATCCACACCCATCCTGCTTTTTTCCCTCTATCACAATTCCAGAGGTCCAAGAGGCTTTGCAAGCCAAGAGGCTTTCCACTCTTGCTGTGGAAATCAAGGTGTTCTGTCTGAGGAACAGAACAGCATCCACGAGGTTCCTTGCAAAGATCCCAAACTGCACAACTCCTGGGCCAGATCAGGGACAGGAGGTCCCTTTTCCACAAAAAGCCCAGAATTTGAACTCAACAACAAAGCAAAGCTGCATTTAATATTCTGCTGGTAAGAGAAAGAAACCGCCACTGAAACATGAAACGTCTTGATTATTTGTGTGTATCTTTGATTAAAGAGCTGGAAAGTGATGCAGACAACCCCAGAACTTTTCTCTCCCACTGTTCCCAGGCACAGGATGCTGCAGGATTCAGGATGACCTTGGTATAAACACGCAGTGACCAGCACTGGACCCAAGGAAGGGTAATTACTGTGCAGCACCTGGCTATCAAACTATTCCAATGAACTGGCACCATTTTATTTCCCCTAATGGTCACAAGAACATTTGTTCCTGAAGGTTTTCAGAATGATCTGGCAGGTAAAGCATCAGACTGGAGCCAAGAGGAGGAGCTCTGTAATGGGTTTTAACTTACCTGCTGTGACCTTCAGATATTGGCTGTCTCTCTTAAAACTTTATCAATACTTGATGGTCACTCTGCAGAGTCCAGACTTCCAAGGTGCCCAGTGAGACCTGCCAGCATTCCCAGAACAAGTCAGCAGGAAGAACCAGACTGAGAGAGGCTTTGGAGTGAAGTGTTTTTACTTTCAGGTGTCATAGTGCCAGACTTGTACCTCAAGCTAACAGCAGAATATACAGAGGATTCAATACAGAGAAACTCAAGCACCTGAAAATGATCAGCCAGGACTTGCACAGCCAGAGAATTCTTCTTACAGGGTTTGAACCCTGTGCAGAGGTTTAACAACACACTGAGAAATGCAGTTTGGTCAACAGGAATACAGGTACACATTTAACAATTACTGACACAGGCCAGCAGCTCTCTCCCTTTTCTGTTTCACAGAGGGAAGCCTCTCACTGCATACTATCACCATGGAAAGGGAGCATTCCTGTGCCAGCTGGAATATCTATTTAATAACTTAGCACAGATCTGAGACATGGCCACTTCATGTTTGAATAAGCTCTGAATCCGTGTCAGAAGAGAAACTAAGAGAACTCCAAGAGCTCACTGAAATAATTTAACACAGGGACAAGACAGGTAAGGTATGGCTAAGGGCTGTACATTCCACCTGAAGCTCAGACTTTTCTCCCAGCACTGCCAGGACACTGCTCCCTCCTCCCAGCACTAGCCATTGATGCGGTAATTCACGTGGATCTCGGGTTTGATGTCACACACCAGGGACAGCAGCTGCGACATCACCACCTCCCGGTTCTTCTGGAAGTTCTGCTGGATTACACTCATCTTTTCCTGAGTCTCCTTCTCCACTTCAGTGGTGCAGCTGCCATGGGAGCCAAGGGCCTACAAACAGCAAAGGAAAGAAGAATCACCATGCCAAGCTCTGTATTTTGTTATTCTGGACCATCTCACACACTAATCTTTGTTGAGAGAAGATTAATGTTAATGTTCATATTAAAAAAAGTACTGCTGCATTTTTTGCTCAGATTTCACCTTAAACTTGTCCACATATCATCCTTAGCCCCTGCCTTTTAGCCTCTTTTACAGAATCATCAAATGGTTTGGAAGGAACCTTAAAGATCCCACCTTTGGGTTGGAAGGGACCTTAAAGATTATCTTGTTCCAACTCCCTGCAATTTATGCATTATCCACCAGTTCAGAGCATGAATTTCAAAGGAGTGCCCAAAATAAAGGTCCTGCTGTACAGACAGCTGGAAGCCCTGGGCACAACTGCACTAGAGGGTGCAAGAAAAGTAACACCCAGGAGTCACTTTAAGCACAATTCCCATCATCCCATTCCTCCTACCCTTGGAGAACCATTATAAAAATCTCAGCCTTCCCTCCTGGTGACCAGGGACACTCTGCCATGTCAGCACTATAGGGAACAAGCCTGTGACAGGAGCAACGAGCTCAGTCTCTTTCGGATATTGCTGCACACAGCAGCTTTTGGGAGGCTGTCACCCCTCAGGGCACCCAGGAGCCCTCATTAAGCTCTTTTCCTGTCAGCTGAGATGCAACACACCACGTCCTGAGCCACTTCCACGGGTTTTTCTGGGACACGTGGCTGTGCCTCACAGGAAGGCACTTGGGGAAGTGCTCCTGCTGCAACCCACTCCACCCTGAGGGTGCTGCCAGGGCAAGGCAGCCCCAGGACAAGGCAAAGGGGCTGGAAATAAGTGAGTGATGGAGAACACCAACCGCTGCCTCCTTGGCCTTGAACTCCTTCTCCCGCTGCAGGCGGTACTGCTCGATCTCTGCCTGGGCCTCCTCCTTGGCCTGCTTCAGCCTCCGGTTCTTCCCTGCTCCCACAGCGCACAGCAAGGCAAAGAAAGAGGAGAAAGCAGTGAGAGTGTTTTCCTCATGCACAGCCATCACCACAGTGTCGCTCCCTCTGCAGGAGCAAACCAAGCCCCCTCCCCAAGTGTGCTGATCTCAGGAGGAGCCCAGCAGAGCATGGCCAAGGTCACCGAGCCATGAGCTTCCAGCACGGAGCACCTCGGAGTGTGTGGACACATCAGGCAACATCCAGGTCTGGCTTATTCACAGGATGAGTCCCAGACTGGTTTGGGCTGAAGGAACCTTAAAGTTCATCCCATCCCACCACTGCTATGGCAGGGACACCTCCCACTGTCCCAGGCTGCTCCCAGCCCTGTCCAGCCTGGCCTTGGGCACTGCCAGGGATCCAGGGGAGCCACAGCTGCTCTGGGCACCCTGTGCCAGGGCCTGTCCACCCTCACAGGGGAGAATTCCTTCCCAATAGCACACCTAACTCTGCCCTCTGGCAATTTCCATTTAAAAAGTCTCTCTCTCTCCTTTTCAAAGCCCTGGAAGGGGCTCTGAGCTCTCCCTGGAGCCTTCTCCTCTCCAGGTGAGCACCCCCAGCTCTCCCAGCCTGGCTCCAGCCATGGGAGCAGCTCCATGGCCTCCTCTGGATCTCTCCAGCAGCTCCAGCTCCTCCCTGTGCTGGGCCAGGGCTGGGGCAGCTCTGCAGGTGGGGTCTCACCTGAGCCCAGGGGCACAATCCCCCTGCGGTTCAGCCCAGGATGTGTTTGGCCCTTAAGGCTGTGAATGCACTGCAGGCTCATCTCCAGCCCCTCATCCACCAGAACCTCCAAGTTCCTCTCTGCAGGGCTTCCCCGGTAAGTTCTCCAAGTGTGTACCCATGTTTAGGATTGCCCCAACCCACGTGAGTGTGCAGCTTCTGTGAGATCCCAAAAAAAGCCCAATAGAAAGAGCATTAAATCTTAAATTTTACCAGACCAGCTGTGAAACCAAGAGGAGTCTGGCCACTGCCTCAACTTCCCCTCCTGGACTTTCCACCACATTCTCCCCTCCAAGATAATCACCAGTGGAGAGAACTACAAAAACCTGCCTCCTGCAACATCATCAGGGGGTTGAACTGCAAACCAAAGCAGGTACATAAATAGAGATATACATATGTATTTGTTTGAAGCAGAAAATACTTGCAAACTCGGGGGTCTTTGCAACCAGAACTTCTCTTGCACAACAGGAGAAGCTAACTTGGATCCATTAGGAATAGCTCCAAAATTGCCGATATGGAAACACACTGTTTTCGCCAGCTGAAGTAAGGACAGAGAAAGGCACAGCCATGCCCCAAGCCACGGCCGGGTTATGGTGGCCGTGTCCTGCAGAGAGCCAGGAGCTGGGCTCTGCCAGGAGGGTGCCGGTGCCGCTCCGACCTCTCACACCGCACTGAGCTTCCGTGGGGAGCCTCCAGCGCTGCTCCCCTGGGGGCCCCACCGAGCCCCGAGCATCCCCGGGGCAGGGCTGGGGGATCCCCGGGGCAGGGCTGGGGGGATCCCCGGGGCAGGGCTGGGGGATCCCTGCTGCCCCCGCCCTCAGCGCCGGGCCGCAAGGCCTGAGGCGGCCGCGCGGGGCCAGGCCAGACCGGACCGGGCCGGGCTCTCCCGCCACCACACCCCCGCGGCGGGGCCTGGCGGAGCCAGGTACTCACTCTTGCGGGCCTCGGCCACCTTCTCCGCGGCGCGTTTCTCGGCCTGCAGCAGCTGCTGGATACCCTGCGACTGGCTCGCCATGGCGGCCGCTCCGTCCGGCCGGGCCGCCGCAGCGTCGCTGCGTCACGCGGGGCACGCCCACACCGCGCCGGCCACGCCCTCGGCCACGCCTCCTCATAGTGATAGTCCATCGCGCGCGGTGTAAGCCCCGCCCATATGTCCCACCTCCGCTATTTGACCACGCCCACTGACACGCCCCATCACAGTAGCTCCGCCCCATATGCGTGGTCACGCCCCCAAAGCGCCAGGCCCCGCCCCATGGTTTGTGAGGGGAGCCCCCGGCCAAGGCCGGTTCGGGCCTCCCCGCCCCCCGCTCCTGAGCCCTTTCCGTGCCCAAAATCCACTTAAACCCCTGCAGGAAGGCGCTGGTGGGGTTTGGCTTTGTTTCTTTCGTGCTTTCTAATCGCTGTAACTGCGGCAGTCCCTGGATGAGCAGTGACCTGGGCTGTGGCATCTCCTCCCCACTGCTGGTTTCACCCAGCTGTGTGACACCAGAGCCACTGGTGCTCGGAGGGCTTTGCAACCATCCTGGACAGCCTTGGCCAGGGCCTCCCAGAGAGCCAAGAGTCCCCCGAACGACCCCATCCCACCTAACCCTCGCCCATCACATCCCCGGGGCCATTGAAAGCCCTGGACTCAGCTCCCCCGGCACTTTCGGAGCATAAATTGCAATTATTGTCAAATAATATCGCTCTGATGAAGCCTCAGAGCCAGGACAGTGACTCATCGCTGCTGGGAGGCTGCCGTCCGCCTCCTCCATCCCCCGTGATGGAAGGGACGGGAGACAATGAATCAAATGCATATTTATGGTGCTGACTAGGAATTATGAGTGTTTTCAGGGTGACCTTCAGCTGGGCCCTTTCAGCAGTTAAGTGAATGGGCTTAGCGTGCCCATCCCTTCAGGGGGATATTTGCTTCAGTGAAAGATAAAAGGAAAGATGGGGAGAAGAGTTCAGGCCATAGTTCCTGGGTTTGGAGGAAGGCTCGGGTGCTGGGATGGGGCACTGGGAGCCACTGGGAGCTGTGGCATCACAGCCAGGCTGTGCTGGCAGAAGGAAAACCCAGGAAATCTGGTCCTCCATCATCTGTCACAGATGGGGCAGCTCCAGCAAGGGAACAGGCTCAGGTGCTGTGCTGGTTGTCACAGGAAATCATAGAATGGTTTGGGCTGGAAGGGGCCTCATTTACTTCCAACCCACCCTGACATGCTGTCTCTACTCCAAAATATGTCACAGCCAAAAAAAACCTGCTGGGGTCATCTGAGGCAGATCCAGGATCCTTTACAGCAGCAACAACCCAGAAATAAGATTCCTCTCATCTGACCCCAAGCCCCAGGAGCCCCTGCCCTCCTCCCACCTCACACCAAGGCCACAAAATCATTAAACTCTCCCTCTGACCCCCACGGCCCTCAGACGATGCCCCTGAGCCCCAGTCCCATCTACAACCCACCACGCTCATTAGCTGCTCCCGTGTTTTCAGGAATGTTCTCCGTTAATTAAATCACTTGAGCTGAACCCAGAGGTGAC